TTTTATTTCTTAAAATATATTCCTCTATCAAATTAATCCAGTCATTTGAATTATTGTCTTCTTGCATTTTGATTTTTTTTATTTTTGTAAAATGATGATAAAATTCTTGGTGTGAAAGCAAAAAAAAAAAAAATGCACTGGGTAGATCATGTAACGTTAAGCTACTAAGCCACCGATCCCAATAATGACCGGTGTAACAGTATGAATAATATTTTATTAATTAATTGTATGTTTCCAGGGTTTGAGGTTTAAAAGAAAGCTAACCCTACTTCATTTGTCGAACCTATATGGGAAGTTTGTTATTAAATCGAGTTACGAATATAGTAAATCATATGGTCCGTGATTTTAAAAATGATATTAAAATTAAGTTACCTGTACTTCGTGGTTTTATCAATCACAAAATAGTTAAAGTTGCAGGAATGAAAATTTTTTATTTTTGTCCGAATTAATATTAATTAAATGAATATTTAGCCAAAAAACGCTTTTATCAATATAAAAATTTCAATTTATGGATTTTCGATGTGAATAAATGAATTTCAAAACTTCGGGACATTTGTTTAAATTAAATTTTATTATTTTCCAAAATTACGAGAACATAATAACACGCTGTATATACCTAACAATTTATTTAAGAACTAATGAAAAGTAAAAAGCTTGATTATATAAATGAAACCGCGATGGAAAATTTGACAATTACCGACATAAAATCTACAAAAGATCTTAAAATGACCTTGAAAACGACTTAAATGATCTTGATTTATTATAAGTTCCTAGTGATATTAGACAAATTGTCGAAATAACTTTCCCTTACTTGAGGAACGAATGTTTTGATTCAATAGGTTGATTTCCACTTTTGCATTTTGTATTTCAATAAAATGATTTTATAATTCTATCAGATTTTTATATCCGGTCCGGTATTGTATGATTTCATTTTTGTATTTAATATATCATCGTTTAATTTTTTTTTGGATTAATAATTAATCTGAATAAAATAATAGATTAGAAAAATATTCCTTTTATCACTAAGAAAATTTACTTAATAAAATAAAAAAAAATGTTTTATGACTTGATATTCCGGAACACATGAAAAATAAAGTAAAATCGCATAACATGCAGCAGGAAAAACTAGGTAGATAGAGGTTGGAACCGGTTTTATTTTCATAAACCGGTTCAAAACTATAAGGTAGCATTCTTCAAGATTAGAAAGAAAAGAGGCTAGGCTGAGAATTTAGAATGAAATTGATGCAACTTTCTATACACTGAGAATAATGGCGTATTTCATATTGGGAAATCAAAAAAATTAGAACTCGATAATCTATGGAATCATTTGAATAATAATAAATTAACCTAAATATAATATGAAGAATGCATATAAGAAAACTATGATTGCGTAAGTCAAGGGTCGGTAAAAATTTGAAAATTTGTATTTAGGGAATATAGCCGTTAAAATAACATTAATAATGTGCGGTGGGTGTTAATAAAAGGAAGAGGTTCTATTTTTACATATAAAAGCATGAGTCAATTGGGTAAAAAATTTTACGTTGTTTACAGTTATTTTCGAATAATATACTGAAATAAATAATCGTGAAAAATTATTGCAGAATAATATAATAACGTATGTATTGATATAGTTTCTATTTTTTTCAAAAAAAAATTAATAATACACATATATACTAGTGCAAATCTTTTTTTCTTCATACTTTTACATTTATATAATTATTTCCTTTTGTAATATTCGATGAATTTAAATAAATATATTTTTTTACTCTCGCATTTCCTCTGGCTATTTTCTTAATTAAATGTTTCACGTATATTTGGCATATAAAAGTGAAGTTATTTTTTCACCGGTAGTTATCCCCTTCTAATACAAAGACCTATTTGTCAATATGGTTACAATCATATATTCATCTTTCAGTTAGTATTAAATTCTTTTCTCGTTATAAAAACTGGAGTGAATATTAAATGATTTTATATTTTTCTCGAGAACATCAGTAATACAGAAGAGTATTTATTATTCAAATATTTAATTTATCAATCATTTATAAAAAAGAAATTATTTAAATAAACAGTTACAATAGCATTAATTAATATCAACGTTTCGTTGATTTTGTTGATTTTGTAATAATTGTCTAACACTATCTTCTATAAAACGCAACCTTTCAGAAAATTCTTGTTCCATATACTGCAACACTATATCTGACTTATCCTTTGATATGTTCTTTCCACCTTCACCTTCACCTTCATCTTCATCTTCATCTACAAACCAATATAAGCATAATGCGCCTATGTTTGGTAAACTATAAGAACGAGAATGATGATGTGAATTTTGAAAATTTTGAAAACGTTCTTGTTCATCGCTATCATCATAAGACCATGGATTACCACCATCTATTTCTCCCAAGAAAATCTTATTTCTTTCTATTTCTTTCTCGGATTTTTCTAACCATTTTTTAATATATTTGGATTTTCCAATGAAATAAATGTATCGAGGATCTTCTTTTCTATTTCCGATCGGATTACTAAGTGTCTCATAATCTTCGATCAATTCTGCTCGGTATTTCAGTACTGCAGATTTACTAATTTCTTTTGCCTGTTCGTAAACACCACTAAATTGATAAAGTAAGCAATTAATTATAATAAATTAATATAAAAATAAGAATAAAAGAATGCTTACGCCATAATTGCAATCAACATATTTTGCAAAATTGTAACAAGAAGGATACTAGCAATGATAGAAAAGACATCTACTGGCCAGAAATTCCATTGATCTAATTGATCCCAACGACCGTTAGTCCAAAAGTAAACTGCTTCGATAGACTTAAAAATATTCGTATAATAATTATCCGATGTACTATTCACATCAAATTCTTGATTTATTTCCAAATTATTTAACCCCGGTGTTGGTTCTTTATTATTATCATAGATTTTGAAATTGGAACCGTCAGGTATAACGTTGATTCGATCTGTATTGCTAAGTAAAACAAACCTGAAAATATAAAGAAATACATTAACAAGATTCCTCAATCAAAGTGAATAACAATAACTTTAATCTCCGCTTACATAGTATGACCAAATCCGAGGACGACCAACAATATAAATATCAAGAAAGATGTTATTTGTTTTACGATGTTCATGACAATGTATATGTAAGCTCCGGTTTTTTCAAGATATCGCAATAACTAAATTTTAAATATTCAACTTTTATGAATAAGTTTATAGGATTATGCCTTTAAAATCAGAGAAATTAAGTTTAAAACTAACCAAGAAAGCTTCAATCCACATTATTAAAACCGTAAATGAATTAAAAATTGTGAAAAATTTGCCATCCATATTAAAATAATTACCAATAATATCGACATCTTTTGAATAAGCTGATAAACAATAATAAACTTGTAACGTAGCTGCTGCGTATGGCAATAAAATTGAAAACAAATCAAAAAAATTATAAACACTAAAATATCTTCTCCATCCTTCATATTGTAATTGAACTCGTTCAGTGTTCAATAAATAAAATCCTAACCAATAAAATACAGCCACAAAGACGAAAAAAGTATTGGATCTATCAATTTCACCAAGTCCATGAATTGAATTCGATAAAATTGCATACGATGCTCCAAATACAAGACGAGTCAATGCTTGCATGGTGAAATATTTTTTTGCTTTGCTCCATTTGTAATCAATTACTGCGGCCATCGACGGATTATCATAAATTTCCGTAGTATAATCATACCTTATCATTCTCAAAAATGGACTTAGTTTTTCTTCTTGTTTTATTACATGACTACGCGGCCAAAACAAGTATTTTAAGGATGCAATCGGTAAACCCCAGTATTTTCGTTCATCATGTATCCCGTCAGGATATACAGTAAAATCTGGGAGCGGAACCATGTAAACTTGATCGATATTTTTGATATTTTTAGAATTCTTTGTTTTCTTACTAAAATTTAAATAATGGAATAAATGGTTAATTACAGCGCTTCTATATCAAATTAACTTTTCCATTAAGCATACCTAGGTTTGTCTCGATAAATCATTTGTTTTAAGAAACAATGTTCATTTCTCTTGATAAGACCTGTATTTATATTTAAAGCATGGATATTCTTTTGTTGACTACGATTTATGTCTTTAATATCAAGTTTTGACCTTTCCAAGTAAACTTCATTAGAGCCAAAACAAGGTTTTTGAAATAATTCCTTAACATAATATGCTAATTTATATTCATAAAGAAGTGGAATGGCTTTAGTTACTGTAAACATCCAATTTGAAGTTTTTGTGGCATTATCTGAATAATAATCTAGTAAATATTTTACTACAACTGTATCTTTACGGTAAGCTCCCCTCGTGTGCTTGATGGCGATCTCAAGGTCAGTTTCTTTGACTCTCCCATCCCAGGAATGAAGTCTTGGAATATGTAAATTTTTATTCTTGCCATTTGCAGATTTAAAAGATAAAATACTTCTGATAATAGAAACACGATTACCGTGAATAAGATGTGACATAAGATCATAACGAATATCCAACATTCTCCATAATCCACATCTTTTAACAAAATATTTCTTGATAATATTTTCAGTTTGTTGAACCAAGTTTTCAAAAATGTGTTGCTTCTTTGGGCCTGAAGGTTTATTCCTTAGTTGTTCAAGAAATTTCAATGATTGGCATGCGTCTACCGGAACATTAACTTTATCGGGCCATTCAATTGTAACTTGTTGTCCAGGTTGAGTAGGTGAATCTCCAGAAGGAATGTATATTATCAAAGAGAATTCCTTATAAGCAACTTCCAAAGATAGAATTTGCATTTGTCTATGCATTTCTTTAAAAGGATTTGTCCAAATATACTGTAGAATTCTTTTAGGTTTAGAAATTCCTTTTCTTTTAAGCCATACTTGAACGGTGGATTCTCCAATAATTAACTGAGTTTCACCCTCAGCATCAAGATATATCGTGGTTCGATAGTAATACGTGTTGTGTACCCAAGGTTCAGGATCGTTAACGATAATTATATCATTTTCATCCTCAAAGTCTAAACGATTTCCAGAGACATTGTAAACTAAATGATTATCTGCTACCGATAAGGGAAGAGATTTGGCTGTATTGGTTGATTTAGAAGTATTGGCAATTTCACGAGATTTGTCAAGTGAAATAATCTTTCTTGTATTATTATTTTCAGGATTCATCAATTTATTTATTTCTGATATTTCTATTGTCGAAAAAATGTTCCCATCATTATCAATAAATATGAGGTTATCAGAAACAATTAATCTTTGATAATAATCGTATTTAAAGGAATATATTGAGGATATATCAGTGATTCTTTCAACACAATTATAGGAGCAACTAAATAGACCCCAAACCACAATTACAGGCGAATAATTTGGATTATTTCCTTCTTCTTCGATAAAAATTAATAGTTTACTATCTTCCTGAATGAAATCAAAAGAAAGAATTCTTATCACATTCTTTTCTTTGAACTTCTTTGTGGTAACTTCTAAACCATTTTCCATTAAATAAATAGTAATACTGTTGGTACCTCGACAATAAGCGAATAATGTTTCATTTTTTGAAATGGCAAAAAAAGGAACACCTTTTCCTACAACCGAAGCAGCGATTTCTTCACGTTTTTGGAAGGTATTTTCTAATGAAGTTGTTTTTAAATTATACATTTCAATGGATTGTACTTTATCTTTATAGCTTTCTATAACAAAACGGTCTTTTACTAAATTCCGTTGGATAAGAGAGGTACACGTCTCATTGCCTGATAATCGTATAATTTCCTTTGAAAATTTTTTTGGAAAATTAAACTCCTCAATTGGTTTAGCAGGACAAATAAAGCTTAAAATACTGCTCTTTTTATCGTTAACACCTTCAACATGATTTATGAATGCTTTAGTAATTCCGAGCGCATTTATAAGAACTACTTCGGTTTTATCGTCATCATCTTTGGTATCCAAAAATTTGATTATTCCTCCCATATCATTAATCGGAGAGTCGATTTTCACTTGCCTCGCAGTAGAAAAAATGAATGTAGATGATTTATCTTGATCATTCACATTGACGTCAGCTTCTTCAGCTGAAGAAAGTTCGTTAGAATGAGTTCTTCTCTTGTTATCTTTCAATTTCATATCATTATCGTCAAAACAAGACATTGCAATTAATACTTCAGCAGTTCCATCTGCCAAAGTAAATTCATTGGACACGGTTAAACTCCTGCTGTTTAGTTTTAGCTTACTATCATAATTTATTTCTTTACATACTTTTGACAGGTCATTCGCTTTATATAATTTTAATAGACAAGATGTGATGTTTAATACAACTATCCTATTTCCATTCGGACTAATGGCAACATCATAGTTTTCATAAATTTTAGAAATCGACGCTTCACTTCCATGCCTGTGAGGTCTTACGAGCACCATAATTGAATGTGTTTGAAAATATTTTCAATGAAAAAAACAAATAATAATGATATCTAGGGAATAAATCTTTTAAGCATTCTTTTTATTTCATAAATCTGTTTCAGCAAGGAAGATCACATGTGATTTGTTTCTATAAGTTCTCAAATTTTGTAAATCACTACTACCTGCATAATGTTGATCTGTTTATCTAGTATAAAATGTTTTGTTTGATTACCAAACAAAAAAAAATATATTTAGATAATAATACCGAACAATTTATAATAGGAGCTCTTTTTTCATATTCGATATTCCCAGATCTTAAATCTAATTCTGGATTGGGTTTACAGTATTTAGCGTTACATTATAGTAAATGAAAAATGAACTCCTTACGATATTAATGCATCAACGATCTTTTATTTTTTTCTTTGAATATTAACTGCACCTCTTGATTCTCGTTTCAATATAATTTTTTTGTGAAGGAAGGCTACATTTCAAGTTAAATTGAGTTTTTTCAAAAAGTTGTAAATTTACACAAATTTTATTTTTCATTTCATATTTTTATAAAATATTTGTACAGTTAATCGATTTTGAGATCTTAATAATCAATAAAAAATTGACGACGATACTGAAGTTGTTAATCGAGTTGTGCAACGATCATTGTTTTCGTCACTTAAATGAAAAAGTTCATTCAAAAAAAAAAAAAAAACCACATAAGATGTGTGTTAGTTTATTTTATTCAAAACATTTAAAATTTAGTATAGAAGGGGACTTCTACTAGCTTAAATATTAGTATTCAGTCACAATTTTTTTTTTTTTTACCTATTTTAATAAAAATCCGCAGCTCAGCTGCAACACGTGTTACACACTGATTCAAAAAAAGACCGCCGCCACTGTATTAAAACTTTATGGAATAGTGAAGTTCATATAGTTGCAGATCATAAAGCATCTGGGTATCCAGGTGAGCCAAACAGCTCAAAGAAACGAATGACCTTAGGCAAGGAAGTCGTCTGGGACGTCCAAGGTAACTTATTCCTAATAAGCGTTGTTACCTTGGTCGAATTGTGAAATCACAAAAGTGTGCTTCATTAAAAAAGTATCCTGACCTTGATATTGCATCCCGTACGGTTAGAGAGAACTTCCAAGTTCTTAGGTATAAAGTTTGTATTTCTTGTCCTGTACCTTTTCTTACCCAGGAGGCTATGAATTTTCATGTCGCTTGGGCAAGGTCCCACCAAAGAAAAAGATAAAATAATGTTGTATTTTCTGATGAGTCACGCGAATATCTTGTGAGTTATTGATTTGGAGATATAAAATAAAAAACTACCATGCTAACTGAAAGCTTTCTGTCAATCTGTGTTCGATTCAATTGAACATTATATTATTTATGAATGCATGATACAAATTTGATTCAAACGATAATGAATGTGTTGTGACTGAAATTGATTTTCGGAATTCAGACGATCTTCGAGTGTCTGAAATTGAGATTCCAATTTCAGACACAACTTATAAAAAAACTATTTTAACCAATCACAATATGCCAAATTTTTTTTTTTTTTTACAATTTCGTAAATTAGCTGAATTATAATTTAATTTCGCGGCATTTATTTCTTAAATTTTTTTCTTTTATTATTTATCATTTTATATTTTATATTTTTTTTTTTTTTAGGAATTTTGTTCACATTCGGGCTGCTTCTTAATGTAGGTTTTGCTTTTTCTTTCTTTTTTTCGAATTTTTTTTTCTATTTCATTTTTATTTATTTTTATTTATTTTAAATTTTTTTAAATTTTTTTTAATTCGATTTTATTTTTATTCAGTTTTTGGCAAATAAGTAAATTCTTTTTTTTAAATTTATTTTTTTTTTTATTTTTTTTTTATTTTTTTTTTAGTTTTATTTTATTTCTATTTTATTTTCATGCAGGGTTTTTTCGAACACATCGGGTGCTGCGTCAGTTAAATAAGTGACTTTATTCATTTTTGTTTTTTTCAGGTTTTTTTTTTTTAAACTTCAGACCGAAGTGATCCAACTTGAAAAAGCAAAAATAATCATTTCATTAGAAAAACATGTTAAAAACATTCACTATTTTCTTCTTTTTAATTCTTTTAATTCAGCAAAAAGGAACTCTTATCTTTACAAGTTACCTGTATAATTAAGCTGAGAGGCGAATTTTAAAATAAAATTACTTTAACTTTTTATAAATATTTTCAAATTTTAATTATAAAGAAAAGGAATCGTTTGTTATATAATAGAATAGTAAAAAAAAAATAAATAAAGGACAATTAAAAATCATAAAAATTTTATTAATTAAAATAAATTGCTTTTGTACAGTACATGTAGATTATATTATTTTAATTTTAATTTATAAATATATAATTTGTATAAATTCAGATTTTATCTGAAGTTCAATTTCAGATATCTCAATTTCAGATGGTCTCATACATGAAATTCAGATTTATCAGAAGTTCAATTTCAGATATCTCAATTTCAGTCTGAAATTAGAATTTAACTGAAATTAAAGAGTTACACAAATATTGACCAATAAGATCATGACTGAAATTGGAATTCAGATAACAAAAAAAGGGTATCTGAAATTGGAATTTCAATTTCAGTTATCTGATCTTTGAATCTTAATTTCAGATATTCAAAGATCGTCTGAATTCCAACTTCAGACAAAAATCAATTTCAGTTACAACAAATCATTATACTGTGATATTTAATTGAAAAACATTCTTTATGGATTCTGAATGAATGATAGATATTTTTTTTAGAGCTGCCCTTAGCTTAAAGAATTTGTTTATCGATTCTGAGACTGTTTCATTAAAAAACAACAAAGTGGCCGCTCTCATTCTTTAATTAATCCACTCAAGTTTTACTTTTAAGAAGCTATACTAAAAAGACTTTCAATGAGGATTTAGAAAATTTATGAAGATCAGAAAAATGTTTGCCTTAGTTTGTAGCATTGAATTAAAAAAGCATCAAAGAAACACATTTGCTATTAAATCAAATTGCCCAAATATTATGAAACAAGGAGACTTACAATTTCTATAGCATACAAAACATAAAGTGAAATAACATTTGAATAGGGTTATCTTTAACGGTACTTCCCTTTGCACATGCTTCACTTTCTTAGGACTTCAGAAGAATGGAACTGATCTTTTGACCAGTGAGATTGTTGGAATGAAAATATATAATTCAGATATTAGAAGTACTGATTTATTATTAAAATTTGTTATTGTAAATATAACTTAGTTGAAATGTATTTACACAGTCTGCAAGATTTGTTTATTAATGTGCATCCAATTTAACAGACGGTGATGTTTAAGGAATTCATTGTTGTTAATGTATGTCTGTGGAATGTATTATGAAATCAATTATCATGGATTGTAGTAACGATTCACTGTGTATCCACGAGATGTAACTGCAAAAAAAAACTTGTTAATCGAGTTTAAATCATACTTTTAGAAATTTATCATCCATTTTATATCGTATATTTACATTTAATTATTCTTGTACTTCTGCACTTGATTTCCTTCAACAGATGATCAAATAGTCATAGATGCCAAAAATTACAGTATGACGCATATTCAAAATCATTAGGAAATTTTCAAGAACATTCTTTGTTCAGATGAGGTATACTTTTTTATTTTTTTACATTTTTATTTTAATAATATCAATAAATCTAACCAGACTTTAGTGGTAATGTTTCATTTATTATTCTTTTAATTCTATAACTGAAAAAGCAAATAACAACAATTGATAAAAGTAAGAAATATAACAGAAACGTAACTAATTTTGTACATGAAATTACAATTGCTAGAGGTAAAGGTTTAGGTGAAACCTGATTATTATGCTCAATCTGAATCCAAAATCTAGGCGATATTAGTTACGCCTCAACAAAAAATTTCTGAAATATCCGATTGAGTTCGATACTACCTAAATCTAAAATTCAATCTGAATTATTTGAAATTCTCTGAAACTTAATTATTCACATGAAAATCAAATATATAACATTGTTGGTAAGACAAACATTAATATATTCGCATCTTACAAAATGGAGGTTAATTCAACTACTTTAACCGATAATACTTCATTACCTCCGGAGGGTGTTGACTCAAACGGATTTGGAATATAGCAACGAGAGGTAGCGGTAGTTTTTAAAATTTTATTTCTTGAATGCTATATCTTGATTATGTGTGTTCTTTTTGAATTCAAATAACTTTATCACAGTACTGCATCGTTAAATCTAAAAAAAAAAAAAACACTTCATTACCTAAATGAAAAGTTGGTGGGAAACCTAAATCAATAGTTTGGGGAATATATATTCAACAAGGAAAGAAAATTTCAAAGGTTATTGGAATGCAACATGTAATTTTTTAGTATAAAGTACAAAATATGTTTTTTTCATTTTAACTGCTTTTCTTTTTTAAACATGAAATTTTTGTTTTTAGATGTATTGAATTAATAAATAATAAATTACAGTATATGGGAGTATTTCTAGGAAAATCAGCTTCCGAGAAATTTTTGACTAAAATTAAGAGCTTAATACATTTTAATCTAATAATATCAAAAACTAAAATGCAATAAAAATCTCAATTTTGCTAAAAAATTCCTGGAACCTGATTTTCCTAGCAATCAACCCATATGCTAATTATATAATATGATTAAAATAGCGCATTAATTAGCCTAATTTATCAATATAGTAACTTCAATATATTAATAAATAAAATTTTATAATTAGTTTATATTATATTAATTTATTGATTTTTAGCATTAAAAGCATTTATTTTGATTGGCTAACTAGTTTTGGAAGGTTTCACTAGTAAAGTTCAGTTTTGCCAGTTTCGTCTTAGTTTCAGATTATCGAAAAGTTTCAGATTTTTGTTCTTGAAAGCTGAAACGTTTCGACCTTAAGATTTTGGTTTCGCTTACAACTTTAGCCGGAGGCTAACATAATTTTAATGTTATTGAAGATGAGAAGAATCAGAATTTGGCAATATATAAGCAATATTGAATTGAAAATTTTCCTAGGTTTGGAGTACATAACTTTATGTTTTGGAAGAAAAAACGAATAACCATCCCATCTATTCCTTTCATTAAATGAAAAAAAATTAATTTCCAAGTATTTAAATATTTCAACGAAAACTCACTAACAATGTTTTGGTCAAAATTACTATGTTATTAGTTGCTACAATTTGCAGTTTTTAGTGTTATGATTCCATCAGTTAACGCTTCTATTAATTCATGGAACATTGAATTTATTTATAAACGAGATGATGCTAAACCCATTATTAATATAAATAGATTTTTTAAAATAATAAATAAATTGTACGCGATGAAAGACAAGAGCGTGATCATAGTAAATTTCTTTTTATTATTCTTATTTAGATCAATTAATATAGTATATAAATATTTTGTAAATCAATAACAATTCCTATAATAAATTCTGAAAATGTTTCATCCTGTCATCTACTGTATATTTGAATACGCTTTTTTCTTCTAAAATAATATTTTTGAATTAATTTCTTGTTTCGAACCATGTAGTAGTAATAACTAGAGGAAGTAGCAATATTAAATATGGTTACAACTGATATTATGGGCTGAGAATTCATGCATAAATAAAATAGAAACTTCCTTTCTGATCTTTTATTAATAATTCAAATAATAAAAATATGGTATATATTTGAGAGATAAATTTTGTTATTGACCTCTGCACGAACTGATTTTGTTTGTGTAATAAAAAAAAATACCATATAATAAAAAATAGCAATTTGTTGAAAAATATAAAAGCAAATGAAATCGAACAATATAAATCTTTAAAGCAATAAACTGCAAAATAATAAAATCTATTAAAAAAAAATCTCACTAAAACTGCAAATTATTATCTTTCAGGATCTAACGCCAAAAATGCCATTCTAGCAGCTTAGTTTTTAGCAGACGACTTATTTTCACATGGATTCGAGATGAATCTTAATTCTTTAGCATGTCATGTATATACAAAATCTTTTGAGGTTTTACCAACCGTATATTCGATACGGCTCTAACGAGCTTCATCAAAAAGTCTTTCTAAAATTTCAGGAAAATATGGTTCCATAGGTCCTATGTACTGCTGATTTATTTAAGGTATTTGAGGTGTCTGAGGTGTCTGAAGTGTTTGAAGTATTTGAGAAAATTGAGGTAATTGAGGTATTTGAGAAATAAATTCTTTTATTTCCGTTCGAGTTTTTTTATTACTTTTTTTCATATAGTACGTCGAACATCTTCTTTATAACAAATTCTCAAGCTTCAAGATGATCCAAAAAAACTTTTCTCCCTTAAATCATTTTTCTTTAATTAAAATATCCACAGCGTATTGTTATTCTAAAGCATGACCATTATGGATTAATTCATATCTTAGTTCTGAAATAGTTGATATTTTGCAAAACACATCTAACAACTCGGTAGCAAAAATGAATTTATTCTCTAGTATTACCAAAGTTTAGTAAGTTTCTGGCGTCTTTCTTCTTTCAGTTAGTCAATATTACCTTTTCTTTTAATTTTTTTAAACTTTGAATAACGCGATCTTCACCAATAATAAGGGTCTCATTATTAAACTCCACCTGTTTAGATATCGTTTCTTCTTGAGAGCTGTGTTCAATGAAGTTAGTGAAGCATGAAGCAGATGGTGAATTATCCATTTTTTAGGCAAAATAAAAGTTTCGTTAAAGTTGTAAATTTAGATAAAATAAAAAGTTTCATTAAAGTTGTAAATTTAGGGTAAAATAAATTTTCATTGAAATTGTAAATTTAGGTAAAATAAATTTTTGTTGAAGTTGTAAATATAACAATTGAAAAAATTATAAACACAACTAAAAAAGAAAATCAGAAAAAATAAGAAAAATTCAATATATATATGTTTTTAACCCTATATAATTTAGTCACACGATATTGGAAAATGATCTCATTTGGCTATTTTTAAATGACCTTTTAACTTCCCCTCAGGAAAACCATCAAAAAATTTTCAGATACGTGATTTTATATAATATATGAATTACTTGATTACTACGAACTAACTTTAATTCTATATAATTAATCGTAAGTGTTACGCTGCTGTTGGCTTGGGTCAGCTTTTATAACAAACCTTTCCCTCCGAACCCTAATGTCACGTCCTAATTCTAATGCCACGCCTTAACCCTAATGCTATGCCACTAACTTGCAAATACTGCGTAGCTTACATTTCAATACAATTATATTTAATAAAACTCGAAAAATTATAAGTTTTTTTAATAATCTTAATAAGCATATATTTATTTTATAAAAATTTATAATTTATTACAAATAACTAGTATTATAAATTTTATGCATCACGATTGCTGTGGAAAAATAAAGATTGATATGGAAATATAAAAAAATAGTATGAATATAATTGATTTAGCAATATTGGCGCGGTAGTAATAAAAAATCAAAAAAGTTTAAGATTTATTGAAAATATTTTTAAAGAAAGTGCATTATTACTGATAAAATAAAATTCATTAGCAGAACATGTTTTCATTTGTACCTGGACTTTTAATTACACAAGTAATAAAAATTTAATTGGGAACCTTAAAGTTAATTAGCTTTGATGGGTGGTTGTTGAATTAAAGAATCCATTCTGTGATATTGAATGAGTATTTTTTAAACAAGACATCTATTTAGTTTTTTTTCAAAGCGAATATTTGAATATTGAAAATCACGATCATTTTAAAATTTTTTTTTTTTTTTAATAAAAATATGATCTGATCCTAAGATAAAGTCAGTAGAGGACTCTTTTGGAGGTAAAAAGAAAAAAAACTTTAAAGTAAAAATTAAAAATATTTAATAACAGATTTAAAAATAAATTATATTTTATTTAATTTTTACTTATTGAAATTATTTTTAATGAATAAATATATTATACATTTTATTTGGTTTGTATATCAGGCCATTCCGAATATTTTATTTTATTATACTGATCAAAATAATTTGTCATAATTTACGCAAGTCATACTTAATGAAACGAAATAATGCTCTTTTACCAAGAAATTTACTGCAAAACTTTAATTTCTTTCTATGATTGATATTTTGCATTAATTTATTTTATAAAAATATCATTTGGAACTTTTTACTCAAAACAAAGTTATTTTGCACCACTATTAATTTCAGATTTCTTTTTTTAATTTTTGAAAGTCTTTTATTTTAATATTATTTGAAAACATAAATTATAAATAGTATAAATAAATAATTTGATCTACAAGAACCTTATATACTCATCGTTTAAGTATATCCTAAAGGTTTTCAAATTCTGATGATAAATTTAAATTCGTATTACTTGTCTTTCAAATCATTTAATTGATTTACCGATATTGAGTCATTAAAAAATATTTGATTGAAACTTTGATAATATTTCCTGGCAAAACTCTCAGATTTTGACAGGATCATTGGCAAAAATATAATAAAATCTTTTTGCATGCATGATAAACCCCTCAAAAGTCAAAATTATATAATTATATTGATGAAAGATATTTTCGATCCTTGAAAAAATTGGCTAATAGCGAAAAACGAAATCAATTTAATAAAATAAGAGATAAATTTTATTTAGCGTTATTTGGTCAAAAAATATTTTTATTTCAACTCTGACCAGAATTAAGAATTTTATGATTGCAAAAACGTGACCAAATTTATAGCGCTGGCCTAAGTTAATTTTAACTGGTAAATTAACCGGTTAACGAATGGTTATTAACCGGTTAAAGAATTTTTTGCCAGTTCCAAACTCAAATCCTCGTTCTAATTGCCATCAGCATCTTGCTATAAAGAGGAACTTTCAAAGTTTGAAATAAAATTAAAGTTATGAAGAATAATTTTATTATCAAAGTTTATAAAAATCGGTTTAATGAAAAAAGTAAGATCAATTTACAAATATCATGCAGCGTGACATACGAAACTCATAATCCTGTATTATATATACACTTTGGTAGCAAAGAGAGAAGCAAGAATTCAGATTCGCTGATAATTTTGATTATTTTTAAAGATGTATTTAAGAAAAGAGCAATAAATACAGTTTTCGAAAATATAGAAATTATAATGTATCCTTAAAATAAAATTTCAATTCTACTTTTTTTTTTATTTTTTTTTTTAATCTCAATTTATTTTAATAAATTACAAATGAAAATACTTTAAATTATCTTTAATTATCAAATAAATAAAATAAAAAATCTTTACCAAAAAAAAGATATAAAATAACTATTATTCACATATAGGTTGGATCGTTGAGTATCACAGCAGTTTTTTTTTAATTTCATTTTTTTTTTGTCCTTTAAATTTTTTAATTTATGCTTCAAAGATAACCAATTGAAAGATTTTCTTAATTTTTAAACTTCGTGCTATTTATGTCCCTTTTTCGGGTTTGTTTTCATTGATCACTTAAGTTTATATTTTTATTTTTTAGGCGAGTTGAAACGCAGCAATTACTGTGGATTTAACTTCATATTTTGTATTAGCTTTCTTCAGCAGTACTTATTCTTATGATCTTCTTATACCATAGCAATCAAAAAAATAACTCCGCCTTTTTAATTGAAGTATTATTGATTTTTTTTTGATTTTTTTTTTGATTTATTTGTCTAATTCTATAAAAAAAAATTATATTATAAAGCAATGTTAATATATTTATTAAACGAAAAATCACATGACTCACTTGTCAAGTACATGAATTCCAATTTAGTAATTTACTACAAAATAAATTTATTTTTAATATTAAAGTCAAATTATAATTCTGAAATTATTAACGCTGTCAAACCGAAGAAAGGTTCTACTTAATAAGATAAGTAATTTTTGATGACAGACAGTCCCTATTTGCTGAGGTACATCTTTCGGATTACATGGCCTTTACATGATTTACCTTGTTTGAACTATTGTAAATTCAGCTTCACTGACTTTTACATTCACTTTTTAGCAGTAATAGTAAATGAGCAGGTCATTTACCATTTTTAAAAGGTCTCTGAACGGCCTGGTCATTAAACAAAAATAATTTGACCTGTCTACTCACGTGTTGATGAACAAATGATATCATTCCACGGTGACGAATATAGACATGCTACAAATGTATTTTGTAAAACTCGAATTTGATAGGTTAAAACCATAAAAAATTAATTATTTATAACAATAACTGCATATATAACAAATTCGAGTATTGCATTTATGTTTGTCTAGGAATAATATGGATATGTACTGTATTTGGAAAAATCGAGGCCAAGTAACTTCCTTGTGTTTATGAAATTTATATGATCGATGAATTACATTGTTATAATAAGATACGACTTTATGACAATTAAAAAGAAACTAGAAAAAAAATAAAGAACCTTTTAATTTTTTTTAACGATGTCTAACAATAAAAAAGGTGAGTATGAAGTTTTTATTGTAATTTAAACGCTACTAAATTTTTTATTTAAAAAAATAAATTTTTATTAGAAAGTAAGTTATTTCTACTAATTATCAGTATTTGATTATACTTTTTATTATAATTTAAAGTCAACTAAATTTTTTATTTAAAAATAATTAATAATATAATAGATTGTAAGTTATTTTCATTAATTATTAGTATTTAATTATACTTGCTATTGTAATTTAAAGTCAACTAAATTTTTTATTTAAAAATAATAATTAAATTATAATAGTTTGTAAGTATTTTTTTGATTATTTGTATTTAATTATACTTGATACTATAATTTAAAGTCAACTAAATTTTTTATTTACAAAAATAAATTTTATTAGTTAGTAAGTTATTTTATTGATTATTAGTACAGTCACACCTCAATATAACGAAGTTGCCGATCCAGCCGATCAGGACTTCGTTATAAGAATCTTCGTTAACGCTA